TTAATATTTGAAATAAGAACAAAACATACGAAACACAAAATATATTTTCAAATTTATCACAGACATATTTTTGAAGAATTATAAACTAAACAGAAATTACTGACTACTATTAATTATAGTATATTACAGACATATTTTTAAAGTACTACAAATTGAAGAGAAATAACTTATTCATATTAATTACTTAATGACTAATAATAATATATTAAAAACTTAAAAACTAAGAAGTAAAAAGCACAGGAATATTGACGATGGAATGACAAATTTAGAAGGAATGACACGTAATGCAATAATTTAAAAGGATAAAAAGAACATCACATTTTTAAAAAAGAATGAATACTTCCCAAACAAAATAATCCTAAAAACAAAATATATATATTGATATCCAAATTGAGATAAAACTAAATTCCTAGGATTAAAATTCATTTACGAGACATTCTTGTTTGTTATCTCTCCATTTAATAGTTATTTTGCTATCTAATCAATCATTAATAAAGTTATATTTGATGAAATCTTTGAATAGTTTCTGTATAAGTGTTTTTTTAAACGTAAGTAACCAAAACCCTGAACTACTTTTACTTTATACCAATTGTAGCTCAAACCTATCTATCGTTTTAATCCAGTTTATATTGCAAGGAAGTTTATTTAAAACTATAACTAAACCCTTGCGCTTTATAAACTGTCTGATCTTTGAGTATGCACTCTTAATTGAGATAATATCAAAATTCTTGCCCTTACATTTTAAGTTTCCGGAATATTTGAAAACTTCTCAGAACATTGTATACTCTGTTGGAATTTATCCTTTAAATTATTGCATTGTTTGTTAATCCTTTTTAATCCCGAAACAAAATTTGATGTATCATATATCTTCTGGATGTTAAGGCACTCCTACGCCTTATGACTGCATTCTGAGGCAATTTGCAGCTACCACCAAAGACTTCTATTGAATATATTGTTATCATATTAATTGAAGATATTGTTATTATCATATTAATTATTTTTGCTGCAATTATTATGAAAAAATATCTTTGCAGAAAACTGGAGTCAGAATAGGTGACTTTTAACCTGCACTTGACAATCTCAGGGTTGCTGCAAAAATCTTTTTCAAGGTTTTTAGGCTTTCATCTCCTAACTAAGAACATAAGATTCATTTATTAATATTTTTTGCAAATTGTATTGAAGTATTTAGAGATTATAATTACTTGTCCTTGTCCTTGGAGTTGCAGATTGTTCTTCTGGTTCTGTATGAGAGCATTCTCTAGTGACTTGATTCTGTTATTGCCGTAAAGGAAACACTTCTAATTGGTTTCGATTTCAAATTATCTTCGTCTTGTGCCACAAACCGAAGAGTTAGGTCATCCATTAAAGGATTATTCGCCCTCTGCATCCAAATTGAAAGCATCTTTAAACAAATTTTTACACACAAATATATATATATATATATATATATATATATATATATATGATAACTATGAATAGATGGCGCTGTTGTGATGTATGAATGTTGGTACGAATGATTGCGTGGATCTATATAGGAATACTAGGAAGCATAGATAAGTAAACATAAATAGATCGCTATCTGAGGCCATTTGACATTACCGCCATTTTAATATTTTTAGCGATCTGAAGAAGGCAGCACTTGTTCAGTATATAAATCAACCGCTGGTATTATTCCTAGATATGGTTCGCATACGTAATTCAAAATAAGAAAACCTAAATAATTTCTTATATTGGAAATAAGAAAAAAAAAACATACAAAGTACAAAATATATTTTCAAATATATCACAAACATTTTTACATAACAATTAATTTTTTTATAAATGCAATAATCAATATATACATAATAATAAGTATTATAATTTTACAATTATAAGTAACTAAAAAAAGTATTCACAATGGTATGATAAATTTACAAGGAACAATCAATATGAATTATTGAATGATCAATAATATATAACAACTACACAGAAATATTGTAAAAGTTTTCATAAGTATAATGAATTTACACGAACTGACTAATATTAATTTCTTAATGACTAATATTAATATATTAAAAAGAGAAGAAAAAAGTATAGAGTCTAAGTTGTAGTATATAGAGTATATACTAAAGATAATGGAATAGTATAATTAGAAGAAATGACAAATAATAAACAAATTTAAAAAGTTAAATCCTACAGACATAAAATATATATCTTGATATCAAAATTGATAAAAAATAAATTCCAAGAATTAAAATTCATTTATGAGTCATGCTTCTTTAACATTAACTTTGCATTTGATAGTTATTTTGCTTTCCAATCAATCATTAAAAAAGTTGCATTCTACAATATCTTGAATTTCTTATGATTCGATTGTGTCAATAGAACAGTGCAGCAGTCCTTTCGGCTGGAATGTTAAGAATATTTCTGAGCATTTTATACTCTGTTGCTATTTATACCTTAAATTATTGCATTGTTTGTCTATCCTTCTTAACTCCCTCAACATATAATGGATGTGTCATACATTTTACATGCCCTCGGAATGAAGACACTCCTATCCTTGGTCACTAGATTCTGCTGCAATTTGTATTCCCAAGAACATCTAATAAACATAACATGTTGTAATATAATATCAAGTCGTAATAGCAAACAGTATTAAAATATTCAGAATTATTATTACCCTTTCCACTGGAGTTGCAGTATTCTCCTGGTCATATATCAGATTGTCTTAAATGCTTACTTGAATATAATTAATTACAGAAACAACATGCAAACCGCAAACTTTAATACAAAATGGCGAATGGCAAATCTAAGCAATCCATTTTGACGTTTTACATATTTAGTAGCAACATCTTTTTTTCGCTAAAAATAGTAGTCCTTTCCAAAACAGAGTAATATACATTTGTTCAGAGATTGCTGAAGTTACCACAAGTTGGTGGGTTACGTTTTGCCATATTAAATTTCACATAAATGCTTACTTGAATACAATTAATTACAGAAACAACATCGAACCACAAACTTTGATACAAAATGGCGAATGGCAAATCTAAGCGAGTAATTTTGACATTTGAAACCATTTTATGTTTACTTATCTATGTTTGAAACCATCACATTTTGAGGAGTATCAACAGACAGTAGCGATGACAGGCGCTCATTATGCGGCTGCGCATGTATTTGTGTATAAAAATGCTGTGAAGTTGGGTGTGTAAATGTCAAGTCTGTCAAACATAATTGGTGTTCGCGCATAGGAATTTCACGTTTTTCATGTTGTAATCATTGTTAATTTTCCGGCTTCTCAATCTGTATGTTTATTCATTTTGTTGCTGAAATAGTTAGAGGTTAGATCAGGTTTATTTCATTTTTGTGTTCTTAAATTATATCATTTGTATTATTTTCTTTTATTTATTTGTGGATATAGGTAACGTAGGATATAGGACGAATTACTTTAATTTTCAGTACCTTAGGTTAACATACTAGTTGAGTTTTTACATATATAGTTATAGTGTTAGGTTTATTTACATTCTTAATTACTATTTACAATTAATTTCTTATTTTTATGTCTTAATTTTTATTTAGGATAGGTTTCAAACTCATTTTTATCTAGCTAAGCTCCAAGCTTATTTTTAGGTTATGTTTACTTCGTAGTTAGGTTTCATTATTTGTGTACATCTAGTTAGTTTTAATCGTTTTCTTTTTACATATATAGTTATAGTGCTAGGTTTATTTACATTCTTTATTACTATTTACAATTCATTTCTTCTTTTTATATCTTCATTTTTATTTAGGATAGGTTTCAAACTCATTTTTATCTAGCTAAGATTCAAGCTCATTTTTAGGTCATGTTTACTTCGTAGTTAGGTTTCATTATTTGTGTACATCTAGTTTGTTTTAATCGTTTTCTTTCTATATTTTATATCAAATATTTTTTAGTTAATATAGGTTTTAAAATTAGTTCTGAATAGGTTACGTTCTCTTTCAACTTTTTTTTATATACTTCATTATAGTATTTTATTTTTAGTTTTTATTTCTTTTATAGCGATTTATATTGTTTAGTTACTTCTTATAGCTTTTACTATGATTAGTAAAACTGTGTGTTCACGTTGCTTTAAGCAATTTAAGAGCAGTAGCTCCTTATATCGCCATGTTCGTGAGGTACATGGCGAGCAAAGCATTCGATATAAAACTACATTCGAATGTAGTTATTGTCAAAAATTACTACATACTAAATATGCTTTAAAAAGACATGTAAATAAGTTCCATTCCGCCTCTCCCTGTAATCCTTCTGTAGACGTTGATTCTGACTCCAAATCACAATCAAGTTCGCAGAATTCCTTACATATCCAAATACCTCCTACTACACCTATGCCAGAATTTATACCTTACAATACCTTTTTTAATAATTTTCGTATCAATCCTCATACTTCATTAGCACTTCATTCCTATACAGCCTCCAGTTTACCATCACCATCCATAACTTCTGATTTTCCTACTGATACTAACATTTGCCAACCATCCACGCCTTCCAGAATAGCTTCCCATTCTCCAACAACTTCTATTATCCGTCGGCCCTCAGTTCCATTAATTTGCCAACCATCCACGTCTTCCAGACCATCTTCCCATTCTCCAACGACTTCTATTATCCGTCGGCCTTCAGTTCCATTGATTTGCACTAATATTTCTAGGATCCATACCATTCCCAATCCGCTTTCTCCACAACCTTCTACATCAACTGCTTTTTCCACTTTGACTGTCACTCCTAAATCATCTTCCCCATTCACTCAAGCATCCCCCAAGACTTCATTTCTAGGTTCGCCACGATCACAAAGGATAATATGCCCAATATGTAAAAGAAGCTTTTCAAGATATGATGCATTGCGGGATCATATTGAATTTGACCACAACATTGAAATAAAATATGAAGAACAGTTTTTTTCTTCACTAAATGGTTTGTTAATTTTTAATTATTGATATTATTAAAGAAGTTGTGTATAATTTTCATACTTACTTGTAGATTTTTATGCATGGAAAAATCTGACGGAGCAGCAGGATTCATCTTTTTATGTAAAAGACAGTGCTGGACACAAAACAAAAGGCGGACCCATAATAATATATTACAATTGTAATAGATCATACACAAATGAAAAACTCACAGGCAGACATTTGAAAGAAAGCAGAAGGATTGGTTCTGCATGCCCCTCGCGAATCATATCTACCTTATATGATGATGGTCACGTGGTTGTAGACTATTGGAAAACTCATGTAGGACATGAGAAACTGGCGAAATATGTCCCAATAGACAAAAATTTGCTGAAGGACATCAGAGGTATATATTTATTATCACATGTACAATTTCGCTTTTCTCATTTTATATATATTTTAAATGTTAAATTTTAAATATGAACAACATACTACAAAATTCTATATTTATATTATATATATATATATATATATATATATATACATACATACATACATACATACATACATACATACATATGTACATATATTTGTATATATGTATAATATACCACATATAAAATCAATATTACAACTTGTATAATATTTGCAGAAAAAATTATAGCTGGGGTTAACGACGATGTGATTATCGGCACAATACGTGAAGCTTGTTATCGTAAAACATTACCTGAGAGAGCTTCATTAATATCTAAGAAAGATTTGTGGAATATTAAAAAAAAGGTTATACCATCATATACTCCTAAATGTAAAGATGATACAGTAAGTGTGCGAATGTGGTTAGAGGAGATGAGATCCGATAATCGATTCATTATTGTTTTTCATAAAGAAGTTGGACCTGGCACTGCTAAGTACGGTCTTCAAGATGAAGATTATATCTTAATAATCATGACAAAAATGCAATGTAGAATGTTGAAGAAGTTTGGTACTGACAGGGTTTGTATTGATGGTACCCATGGGACAAATGGCTATGGGTATCTGCTACAAACACTGCTTGTGGTTGATGAATTTGGAAGTGGCATACCAGTCGCATTTTGTTTTTCAAATAGGCAAGATGAGTTTATGTGTAAAATATTTTTCGAAGAAATTTATAAGGTGGTAGGTATACTTAAAACAAAGGTATTCATGACAGATGACGCTCCAGCTTATTTTAATGCGTGGTCATCTGTCATGGGTGTGCCACAGCACAAACTTTTATGCTCCTGGCATGTGTCCAGGAGCTGGAAAAGATCAGTATCAAATAAGATTTTAAATAGAGAAAAGCGTGAAGTCATTTACCAGAAATTAATAGAATTAAAAATGATTTTAGATGAGGATGATTTTTGGAGCAATTTAAATTCTTATTTGAATGAGCTTGAGAAAGATGATGATGCGAAATTATTTGTTAAATATTTTAAGAAATTTTATTACAGCCGAGCAACTACTTGGGCATACTGCTATCGCAAAGGTTTAGGAATAAATACCAACATGTTTTTAGAAAGTTTCCATAACCAAATGAAAACTCGAGTTTTGGGAAGAAAATGTACTAGGAGGATGGATAAAGCCATTCAATTGGTGTTACGCCTCGAAATGAATGCTTTATTCAGAGGACTCGTAGAATAAATGGAACATTATTATCGACAAGGCAGAGAGATGTACGAGTAACCCATGTAAGAGGTGCAGCAATATTGCCGCATCGTATTCTAGAATGCATTCCCAACACACAATGGAATGTTTTTTCAACAGAAGATAACGTTGCACCATACGTGGTTACCAAAATAAATCCAACATGTAATAGTACATGCATGAGATGCGAATCATGTAAGATTTGTTTGCATACGTACTCATGCAGTTGTATAGATTATTTGATACGATCAAATATTTGCAAACACATCCATGCATGTGTAAAGGTTTTCCCGAGTGATACTGGTTATAGGCGTGAACTTTTAGAAAAAGATATGTTACAAAAATCTCTGGATTTCAAAAATCCAGAGAATTTTCAAACAAGTACAAAAGACGATGAAGAGGCTTGTTATGCCATTATAAAACAAGCAGGCCAAGAGATCATGAATTTGATACAGGATAAACAGTTTGGTAATTATAAAATATTTAAGGACCAAATTTGTTCATTTCTGCAACAAGTAAAGACATCGGCCCAAGAAAATATGAGAGAAAGTGTAAATAAAAAGATAGAGTGCCAAAGGGCAGGGAAGAAAAAGACCACTTGATTCGTTATTAAATTATCTAATTTATTTAAATTTTATTAGCAATGTTATTTAATTAATTTATTAATTTATTTATTTAATTTATTTAATTTATTTATTTATATATTAATTTTATTGATGTTATATAATTTTATTGCATATAATTTTACTGTTTGGTAAATTTATCTTTATCATGAATAATTTATTTAAATTATTTAATTTATATATGGCAACAAGTGAGTCTGCTCAATATTTGATACAGAAACATGAACAATAGTACATAGCTACATATTTAAAATAAGGTAAGTTAAATATTTCACTAATGTATTATAATTTATTTCATAATTATCCATGTATTCATATATTTTATTTGCAGGTAGCAAGTGTTATACTACGCATTATACTAGTAGCAAGGCAAATACTAGCATACCACAATAAGAAAGTCTATCATACAACACACATGTAGGTATGTACATGTCATACTTTTAATACTTGGGGGACTGGTAATGTTTTAATAGGAATCAATCAATTCTTACTCGCATGTTTTCTTAACTATTCAGTACCAGTTCTGCACATGTAAGGATGCGTAATAACTGCATGCGTATGTATGAAAACAAATCTTACACGGTTCACATGCAAGTACTATTACATGTTTTATTTTTCTTAATAACTGCATATGGTGCAACAGCATCTATTACAAACCATTGTGTGTTGGAATTATTTTCTGTGTTACGATTAGGCAATATTGTTGTGTATTTTGCGTGACTTGTTTATCTCTCGTGTCTTGTTGATAGTAAATCTTCGTTTTCTTTGATAAAAAGCATCTTAGGTGCAACACCTAGGGTACTTTCTTCCCAAAACTCGACTTTTTATTTGAAAACATAATTACTCGGTTGTAGTAAACTTTTCTAAAATATGTAACAAATTACTTAGCATCTTTCTAAAATTTATTCAAATAAGTATTTAAATTAAATCTTCCTCTATAAAATCGTTTTATTTCTACTAATTTCCAATAAATGACTTCTCGCTTTGCTGTTTTTTATGCTGTGGGACAAACAACAAATGACATATGACCAAGCGTTGATATATGCTTGAGCATGATATGTCATGAATGTCTTTATTGTAATTATGCCTAATGCCTTAATAATTTTCTTGAAAATATTTTATACCACTATTCCGTTTCCAAATTCATCTACCACGAGTAAGGTATACATTTGAAAGCCATAAACAATAGTTCCATTTGTATCATCAATGCAATCCCTGTCGGTACCTCAAACCTTCAGAATTTCAAATTACATGCTAGTCATGATTAAGATATAATCTTCATATTGAAGCCTATAATTAGCAGTGTCAACATCTTTATAAAACAAAACTATGTATCGTTTATCTTAACTCATCTTTTCTACCCACTTATTTACACTTTCATCTTTTCATTTGTATGTAACACTTTTTTCTTTTCTTTTTCTTAATGTTCCACAAATCTTGTTATTAATGAAGCTCTCTTTATTACTTTCTTATGATAAGCTTCATGTATAGTGCTGATATTCACATTGTCATTAATCCCAGCTATAATTATTGATCAAATTCAAAACTATTGTCATTTTTACTCAGATCTTTAATTTTTAATTTATTGGTGATTTTCCTGTTGTACAGTTTATATTTTGTTATACTTTATTTAGCTGTTATTTATTCTATTCCTATGTATGTTTTTTTTTTTTTACATTTCTCTTTCTATGCATATATATTTTAAAATACGAACATATGCATAAACAAACACCAAGCCTCACTCTACTCATTTATTTAAGTCTTTGAGCTGCACTGCTTTCATGTTTCTAAATATAGGATATTAAGTTCGTTTATTGCATAGTTTGCAAAGGTCTCGTGTTTGTAATATATTTGGTTACTAAATCATAATTAATATTGACTAATAGTAACATTTTTATTTTCCTTTACTAATTTTTTAAGCATATATTTTTGAATTTGTAATGCCAATATGAATGATAATCAATTACCTCAAACTTCCGATCACAAGTCATAAAATCATGAGGTAGTCATTGAAAATAATGCAGTCAATTAATGTTGCCTCCAATGCACACAAGCAGATATATAATATAGTTTAGGACAACTTATTATGAAATATAAGGAATAGCAAAAAGAGTCAACAATCGCTCGGCTAATCAATCATTCATATCGCGGATTGTACAAGTTGCATGTTTCTAAAGCAAAACAACTGTAACAAATGTTGAGAGAAAATCTAAGAAATTAATATTAGAAGTTTCTTATAAGAAGTTTAAATTTTATACAAAATTATATATACTAAAAATTGCAATTAGTAATTTAAAAGTAGCTATACTGTTAACAGAAAACATTAAAGATTTCACCTTTGCGGTCACAAAACACATTAGCAGTTGACATAACACCAATTAGAAAATACAAGTTTGTATTAGAAAGTATAATTAGAATTATTGTCATTTAAATATAAGATAGTCATGCTTCTAACATGCGAATAGAAAGAAATGGTGAATTTTAAAAATTATTTGAATTTAATGAATCATTGTGGCTTGGTGAATAAAATCTTATAACTATATTAATTCAAATGTAACATAAAAATGAGCACTTGAAAGCAATCAAATATCATCAGTAATGGAAATAAGGTCATATCAAATATCATAAAATGCAAATAGATGTTTAACTATATCTGAGTTATATATATAGCTTATATCATCAGTAATGGAAATAAGGTCATATCAAATATCATCAAACTGGTGGCAAAATTCAAACCAGAAGAATAGATGGATAGATGCAGTCTTTTTATATAAGACATATCAATATTTAATTAAGGATTTTTTTGCTGAGAAATCATTCTAGCACTGGCATTACAATATTCGACAAATATTTAAATATCATTAACATATCATAAACATAACTTCTACTCGTGAATATTATATGGTTTATGACTAAATATAAATATATTATGATTGGGACTCAAATCCTCCAATGTTAAACCTCAAATGGACTAATATTCTAAGACTTCTGTTTGATAAACTTTGTAACTTTTACTTTCTATTCATATGCTTTGGCCTGTTGTATTGTTCACTATTCATACGCATTTTTTGGTATGTCATATGTAATTGTTACATAATCATAATTATTATGTAATCATCATCAAAATCATTAATTAATTAATCATCATCATAATCATTATAACATCATTATATAATCTCCATTTTTCATGTTTGGTTCCCTATTATTCATCTTGAATGTATTTACTTCCTTCTTTTCTCTTCTTTAATTGTTATTACATTTTATTGTTATTGTTATGCATTTACTGTTACTACTTTTGTTCTCATGGTAATAGGTTTTCTTCTGTAAATTATTATGAATAATTGTAAATAATTAGTTATAGATATTATAATTGTTATTGTTATGCATTAACTGTTACTATTTTTGTTTTAATGGAAATAGGTTTTGTTCTGTAAATTATGAATAATTGTAAATAATTTGTTGTGTTTATATTACATTGTATATTATATAATTCACCCCCAATAAAGATTTCATTATGATTATGCATTTGTTTTTATTTAAATTTTAAATTCCGCAGCAAATATTGTTGAAGTTTAAATGTACGAATCCGCATATTTAGGTAAAAAAACAAAACTGCTAAAAATTTACGAGTAATACAGAAATTAAACTATGTTTATTCTGGTAAAATATTCAAACATAAAAAATATATAAAAAGAAATATATTAGGCTTGCAAACTTTTCAAAGAACACTGTCCAAAATAAGTTGTATTATATCAATAAAATTAAAAAATGTCAAACACTCAAAAATTTGGATTATTTGACAAAATTCAATCGAAACATTTCAAGTACTGTAAGTCGAAATTATAAATGTTAGGTTAAATATAGCTTTGACAGATACATCATTTCTACATCTTACTGTTAGAGACTTTCGCTCACCTTTGTTGGTACACCTACATTCTTAAAATATTATTTTGTTTTAATGGCTGCCGCACAATGAGCAAGGTCACAAACGTCATCGCTACTGTCCACATCCACGTGTCACATTTTGAAACTAGTAGCGACATCTTTTTTCGCTAAAAATAGTAGTCCTTTCCAAAACAGGGTAATATACATTTGTTCGGAGATAACTCCCCATGACTAGGAAGCATGGCCGGTAATCTCCGAACAAATGTAGATTACCGTGTTTTGAAATGGATTGGTATTTGAATAGTTCGAAGGATGGCGCTACGATTTCCAATTTCATTGACCTAGCAGCGGCTTGATCTCTACATTGATTTGATCGGCCATTTTCTATAAGTTGTCAAGTTGTCATCGCGTATTGTAGTTGAGATTTTCTGTGATTGTTTATATATAATTATGTTTTGGTGAATACTTTTTTCATTTATTATGAAGTTAAAATGATAAAGTGATATGTGCCAAATTGTTATAACCCCAAATATAATAAAAAAATGCATGTCTTTCCGGCATCTAATTATCAGGTATGTATATAATGATGTATTATGCATATAATGAATATGTATCATCACAATACTATTAAAATGTTATATATATATATATATATATATATATATATATATATTTGTGTAAATATATATTATATATATATTTGTGTGTAAAAATTTGTGTGTAAAAAGATGCTTTCAATTTGGATGCAGAGGGCGAATAATCTTTTAATGGATGACCTAACTCTTCGGTTTGTGGCACAAATCAACGATAATTTAAAATCGAAACCAAATAGAAGTGTCTCGTTTACGGCAATAACAAAATAGTTCTCAAGTCACTGGAGAATACTCTGATACAGAACCAGAAGAAAAATCTGCAACTCCAAGGACAAAGCCAAGTAATTATAACTCTAAATACTTCAATAACATTTGCAAAAAAATATTAATAAATGAATCTTATGTTCTTAGGAGTTGAAGCCTAAACACCTTGAAAAAGATTTTTGCAGCACCTCTAAGATTGTGAAGTGCAGGTTAAAAGTCACCTATTCTAACACCAGTTTGCCGAAAAGGTATTTTTTCATACTAATTGCAGCAAAAATATTTAATATGATAATTACAATATCTTCAATTAATATGATATAACAAGATATTCAATAGAAGTCCTTGATGATAGCTGTAAATTGCCGCAGAATGCAATGATAAGGCGTAGGAGTGCCTTAACACCCAGAAGATGTATGATACATCAAATTTTGTTTCGGGATTAAAATGCAATGCAATAATTTAAAGAATAAATTCCAACAGAGTATACAATGTTCTGAGAAGTTTTCAAATATTCCGGTAACTTAAAATGTAAGGGCAAGAATTTTGATAATGTCTCAATTAAGAGAGCATACTCAAAGACCAGACAGTTTATAAAGCGCAAGGGTTTAGTTATAGTTTTAACTAAACCTCCTTGCAATAAAAACTGGATTA